CCATTCTGTAGGCTGTCGGAAAAACAAAGTATTGAACATCCAAGGTGGGTCAGGTGCCACTTGGACTAGATGTCATCATACATTCAGGGGAAGGAGAAGCTAAGGATACCTTTGGGTGGCTCAAAGATGGCTTTTCCCTCCTGATTTGATGACTGCCGGAAGGGTAAGGAAACAGTGCCCACATCCCAGAGTGTGGGCTCTGCCCCTTTCCCTTTAAAATCCGCTTTCCTTTTCCGCTTTCGGATCTCCTCATCTTTTAGGGGCACCCTATGCTAAATCCATTGCGTATGGTGGGTGTGTCCTCTGTAGATGGTGGGCATAGCTGAGCTGAAGCCCACAGACACTGAGGAGTGGAAGGTGACCGAAGCTCGTCCATCCGTTTGGGAGCGGATGTGAAATTGTTTCTAGTGTCTGTCTGGATTGCATAGGTCTTATGTGGATCCATGCCCCAGATGTTGGGCACCATTTTGTAGACACTGGCTGCTCATTTGTTTCCTAGATGCCTAGATCCAAATAATCACAGAGATATTTTATTAATTACAGCACTGCTTGGCCAGTAGCTCATGCATATTTCTACCTAGCTCTTCTGTATTAAATTTATCCATTTCTATTAACCTGTTTAGGCCAAGGTGGTGGTATCAACGTTCTGGCTTTCTCCTTCAGCAGTTACATGGTGTCTCCTTGACCTCATCTGCTCTCTATATATATCTCTGTTCGGATTTCCTGCCTTTATTTATTCTGCTAAGCCATTGGCCCAAATAGCTTTATTTATCAACCAATAAAAGCAACACACATACAGAAGGACATCCCACATCACTGGTGCTTGCTATAATCCCAACAAGTAGAGGTAGAGGCAGAAGTATAAAGTGTTCAGGGACATCCTCGGCTACATAGTGAGTTGGCAGTTAGCCTGAACTGTATGAGACTCTGCTTCAAAAAAAAAAAAAAAAAAGATAGAAAAATCTTGGAGGAAAAGTATTTATTGTGTAAAAATTCTAACACATTCAAAACTAGGAACAAAACCATCTACCATATGCATCAACACACAAATTTATCTTCTCCATCCCATAATGGTCACCTCATCTTTATGCCATGATCTTTACACATATTGGGTTATTTTAAATCAAGTCCCACACATTGCTCTTTTTTAATCCCTTATAATTCTACAATTGGTTAACTTTTAGCTCTTTCTAAACATAAAAACCCAATATAGAACCAGAACATGGTCACATCATAAACCAAAGGGTGAAGAAAGTAGGAGCTTCTGGCTCCCGGAAGACATATGTACCTAGAAGAGCCTGGATGGCCAGTTGACAGCATGGAAGAGAAAACTTAGATATCAGACTCCTATCCTCAGTGCTGAGGCTTTGCACTTTCTGCCTTTCCACCAACCCACCCACCCATCCACCCTCACACACACACACACACATATATACATACTTCCAGCTATCCATTCCTCCATCAATGCATCCATTTGTCCATCCATAATCTATTCTTATCCACTCACCTATCTCTCCACTCACTCATCAATTCGTCTACATATCTACCCCCCCACATCCACCACCCACCTTTCTACTCATTTATGCACCCACGCATCTACCGTCTATCATGATCCATCTATCCACTCATTCACTCATCCATCATCCACTCACCCATCTCCATTCATCCATCTGCTCATCCCTCCCTCCATTCATCCAGCCAATGACTCATCCATTCCATCTAAATAAATAGTCACCCATCTACCCTATCCACCCATCCATTCATCTATTGATCATCCGTCTATCATTCTTATTCCTTGTGCATGCACCAGTCATCACTTGGAGTCTATGACCCAGGAACTGAGCCACGTACTGGAGACACTAAGGCTGAACGATATTCAGTCTTAGTCACCAGGGTGATTCGGGCCAGTGCGGAGATGATCAGGGAAGCCGAAGATGCTAGTGCAGGGCTTCCTGACTTGCTGAAAAGTTCACAGTTACGAACTCAAAAAAGGAGTTCACTGTGTGGGTCCTGAAATGTCTACTTCAAAATCCACAGGAATCAGCCAGGCATGATGAAGAAGGTGAGGGGTGGGCATAGCTAGAAGGTACTGGGAGTAGAGGAACTGCAGGTGCAAAGCCTAGAAACTGGGGAGAGGGGAGCCCGTGGGAGGAGCAGCGAGCGTTTCTGGATGGCTAAGGCAGAAGGATGCCTTTTGACCTTGGAGGCCCCTGGGCACTGTTATTTTCCAAGGCTCCACGCCCACGTTCTATCAGACACATTAAAATTCACCCACTTTGCATATTAAATGACTTATATATAACTACCTAACAGGGAGGCCAGTTGCGAAGACAGTTGACATAATGTTACCTTTTGTAGACATTTAATTATACACTCGTCAATTTCAACTTGGCAGCCTTTTTATTTTAAACTTTTTGGGAAGTGTGGGCGCACACGGAGCAGCTGGGGAACGAATCTGGCGGCTGTGCTTGGAACACCTAGCTGATAGTAGTGAAGAGTGAGTCCTAGGAGGAAGCCAGCCCCCACACAGCACCAGCCTTTTCAGTGCCTTCGCATAGGGCTCTGAGTGTCTAGCAGACAGACGAGCATGAGAAACTGTAAGGGTTTTAAATAGAGGCTGGGGCGAGCCTCTCAGGAGAAGTCTAGAAGCAGGAGGGTGGGGAGGGGGCCTGCCTAGGACTTCAGCTGCAAAGTTAGGAAGGGTCCAGGAGGTCTACGTTTGTAGGCCTGGCCTGAGTCAGTTCCCAGAGCACAGGACGATCCTGCGCAGTTGGTGGCCTCCTTCCTCCAGAGGGCGTCACAGGACAGCTTTTCCCAAGGGAAGGCAGCCTATGCGGCTGCCGTAAAGGCATGCTTTGGCTGGTTGGTTACAATCACTGAGCTGGGCAGGAAGTTGGCTTTTCTGGATCTCCCCGGGAAGAGGAAGCCTGGAAGGAACCTGGCTAGGGAAGAAGGAGCCTGGCCTTCCAGACTACCTGAGACCAAGATCCAGAGAAGGAGGTAACAAACAAATGAACACCTCCAAGACTTACAGAAAACGCAGGGGCTTCCAACCTCCTTGTACAAGCGGGGAGCTAGCCTGATCCCCTCATCTTACTAAAGAGGAAGCCGACCAAGGAGTAAGGCAGCTTGTCTGGGGGCTCCAGAGCCTGTTGGAGGCAAGCCAGGACCAGAGGCTAGCCCTGTCCTGGCACTCACCCCTCCTTAATAACATACGTGGCTCTGTCACGTTGTGGTGCTCAGAGACATGGCAGATAATATCAAGTGCCAGGCACCTGCCACACACCAGGCTCCGTGCTGAGCACTTTATTCTTCCTATTGACTTTCATTCCCGTGACATCCCCGGAGGCTGGGTGATATCAGCCCGTTTCTTCTCCCCTCCCCCCACCCCAAGAAAACAGATCCACTGGAGGCAGAGGCTATGCTCAGTTTAAAGTCACTCAGAGGTGCTTCACGGCCAGGCCCGTTCAAAGGGTCTCCCTGACCCAGCCCCAGGGCTCAGTTTTAATTCTGAGGAGGAGATAATAATGCCAGATTATTTTCTAAGAACAGGTCAGTTTTGTCCAGTGAAGTCACTTTTTAGTGCCGGTGAATGGATTCCCATACTATTTGTGTTTTCAATAGGGATGCTTTCTGTCGTTGATCTGCAGCCAAGAAATTAAATTAACCAGGACACCTTTAGCCCCGAGCACTCTGGCTGCGTGGTTCATGGAGATCTGACAATGCCAGCTATGCGATTTAGGAGCAGAATAAATTGCCCTTAGGAGGGACCTAAATCTTCAAACAAAATCCCTAATCCTTGCGTTTGGGCAGGAAGGGCCCTTAGAGAGCGACTTTTAGGGGACCTTGGGCCTCGGAGAGAGACAGTTACTCTCCAGTCTCACAGAACAGACAGAACTCAGACAAGAAGCATTTCTAGGCATGGCGGAAGCCGTTCGTTCACTCCAAAGTTCGGTTGGAAGCTGGCAAAATGGAAGGCAGTTAGCGTGAGGCGCGTGTCCTCTCTGCTTTCCACAACCCAGAAGCTCAGTGTGGGACCATCAGTAAGATCTCCTGCTCGAGGCCTAGGACGGAGGCAAAGAAGCAGTCCCTCCTGGGAGGAGCCTTTCAGGACCCACTCAGCAATAATTCCCGTGGGGACCAAGGGCAACTTAGCCAATGAGAAATTTAAGGTCTTGCTTTCAGGGGGCTTATGTTCTAAGGTTGGGGTGAGAGAGGACAGACAGCCCATGGAACACAAAGAGAATGCCACCTGCCATGAAGACCTTCACTGGGAGGGGTCTGAGGAAAGAGGGAAGGAGCTGGGCGTGTGAGATTTGTGATTTGAGTTAGTAAGGAGGAAGGAACCTCTGCAGAAAGAAAGGCAGTCCTGACCAGCAAGTTTAAAGGCCCTGGGGTGGGGAACAAGGTTTTTGGAAGAACCAAGAAGTACTTTAAGGCTTTCTGTAGAAATAAGGTGCCGTTTTAAACGTTCAACGTGTCCACTGTGAAAAGGAAAAAAGAAAAGAGTAAGGTTAACTTATGTTTTATTAACAGAAAACAAACAATGAAGAAAATTGAGCGCCACTGAATATGTCTGTAATCCCTCCCTTGTATTGGGGAAGCTGAGACAGGATGGGAAGTTATAAGTCAATCTGGGCCATATAATAAAACCTACATCTTAATATACAATAAGAAAAAGAACCGGGGACGTAGCCTAGTGAAAGAGAGCTTGCCTAGCACGTGTGAGCACTGAGTTCCATAAACCCGGTACCATGGGGGAAAAAAAATCACCCTTCTCTATCTTCAAAATATGGTGTGTATTAGAAGCACGCGTGAAGCACTCATTAACCACGGATGCCTACTGGGTAGGAATAGGAGCCCAGCGTGGGTGATGATTGGCAGGGATTGGAAGGAAGGGTTCTAGATTTGGAGCCTCCAAATCCCAGTCAGCCTGAGGGTCGAAGAAGACAGGGATGCCACACTCTGCCTTCCTCAGCGGCCTCCTGATCTCTTCCCAGGATCTGTTCTGAGGAAGCCCGCTTGTGCACACGTGGGAAAGCTGCTTGCTGGCCCCGGGCCTGGAACCACCTTCCGCGCCCACTCGGCCTGGTCTCATTCCAGAAGCCGCGTCCGCCCAGGTGAGGCGAGGCCTCTCTTCCAGCCGCTCAGCCCCGCCCCTTGGGCACGGTTTTGGTTTTCGGGTGCAGACAGGTCTGCATTCCACTGAAGAGGCCTGCTTGGCCCATCAAAGCCGGCGACAGAGCCACATCACAGAAACCCACGATGCCAGCCTGCAGTTCCAACGATCTCCACGAGGGGCGCCAGCAGGACTGGCCATGCCGGCTGCTACCCAATTCAGGGGGCCTCTAGGAACCTTCTGGAGCCCTGGGGCTCTGCTGCCACCACCAAGGTTCTTTCGCCTTCACTCAATCCAGCTGTGCTGTGCTATCAGCGGTCGCCTGGATTTCTAAAATTTTCTTAAGCACCTGATAAGATGATGGGGGAGGCTACCAGCTGCGAGCCAGACTCCGGAAGGAGAGGCTTTGGGAGCCCTTGTGCTTGGGGTGATGAGTGGTGGAGGCGACGGTGAATCCAAAGTCTGTACATTCCGAGACTGGAGCCAGGAACAAAAAAGATTCCACTGTTCGGATGTTTTCGCCCCTGAGGCTGAAATAACAGCGGAGGCCTGACTGCCCACGTGGTGTCTGTGGCCAGAATAGGACCCACATAATAATGGCTTAGATCAGGGAAGGGCCTTTCCCATTCCGTGATGCAATATTGTCATGACAGCAACAACAAGGCTCCGCCAGCTGAAGTAGGTACATCATGGCGCCTTGCCTCTGCCCTGCCCACACCTCTGTGCCTTCCAGTAGCATTCCCTGGACGTGTGTGGAGTTGCAGGACTCCAGGGAAGTGCCAGGCTCCAGAGAGACCTGCCCTGGGCTCATCCCCGAGGGACTGCTGGGCTGAGCTGGTTCACTCTTCCTGAGCCACCATTCAGCAAACAGAGAGCTATGTGGGTGGGCTATCTCGTAGAGACACGATTGTGCCCATTCCTCTATAACTGTCCCTGAGTTGTGACCACACTTTTGCAAGAAGTTTACCTTAAACAGCCCTAACAAAATGGCACAGGCTAGTTAACCAAGGAACACAGGATGTGATAGACAGGAACCCACAAAGGGATTCTGTGAGCCAGCTCAGATTGATTTTGTGAGGTACATAATCATGGATTTTGGGGAAAGAGGAGTCCAGAGCTGTAAGACTAGATACAGACAACTGGACACATCTGGATACAGACAACTGGAAAGACTCCAGTCAATAGGAGGATGGGAAACATCCTTCTCGGCACAGGTGAGTTGGAACCAAGAGTGCCAGGATTTCAAGACCATCCTCAGCTTATATCAAGTCAAAGGCTAGCATGGCTATGGGAGCCCCTCTCTCAGCCAACAGGGTAGGCAGAGTCCATACCTAGTAAGCCTGAGGCCCTAGGTTCAATTCCCGGCACAGAAGGAAGAACGGAAGGAAAGAAGGGAGGAAGGGAAGAATTCAAAAACAGGCTTAGGAACAGCAAACGAAGGTAGATTTCAAATATACAAATTGAAGGAGGTAGTCTGGGAGCGGCTTGAGAAAAGGGCAGACTGGGCAAGTGGATGGGGGAAGAGATGAGCCGCCTCTTGCCAAGTGTTTTTGTACCTCTTGTGGATGACAGACTCTGCAAAAAAGCACACTCACAAGGGTGCTTGGTTCCTGTAGCAACCCTCGAAGGCAGGGGCAGCTCTAAATTCACAGTCTCTGGTATTCCACGTTCCAGAAAGCTCTGGGAAAATGAAAGCCCTTTTGTGACTTGCTTTGGTGATAAGGGCTGGTCTGGAGAAACATGAGTTTGTTTTTATCTTAACTGGTATGAATATTCATGTTCAGTGCAAAGAATTAGGGCGCTGCCCCAGACTTCAGTGGAGATGCCCTAGTATACATTCTATGTGTGCCTCTTGCCTTTCAGAAACCGGAAGCCTGAGTTCTGGGATGCACCTGGATGGGCGAGCTTTAAGGAAGACACTGCAGACTCACGCTGCTATGCTTATTTTAAAGGAGGAAGCTCGGATCCGAGGAGAGAAATAGGGCATACTGTGCCCCGGGGTGGGGGTGGGGGAACCAGGCTGTAGACGGAAGACTCGGGCCCTGATAGGGTTCCAAACAAGGTGATGAGTCCATAGGGCCCAACACAGGCTGAGCCTGAAGAGTAACCTGATGGCCTGGTGGCTAGCAGGCTGCATGGGTTGTTTTTAATCCGCAAATACAAAGTGAAGGAAAACATGCCCAGAGCCAGAAGGCAAAGTGACTTCTGTACTCCCACAAGATGTGGGTACCTCCAGAGAGCCGGCATCTGGGCTCTCGGCAGTAACAGAGGTTTCAACACAGTGACTCTGTGGTCTGCAGCCCAAGTCCCACAGCTCACTAGCAGTTTGCTTTGATTCCTTGCTTGTTCCTTCTGCAATGTAGAGATGATATCATTTTCTAGATACGGGGTGCTGGAAGGCAGTTAGTATAGGGCATGGATCCTAGCGAGCATGATATCAGTGTTTGTGGTGACTATCACACTAAGCCCCCCGATTCATGGGGTCACAATACATTTCCCTCAGCGATGCTTGAAATAGCCATAACACAGAACTTTACATCCAGGAGTCTCAGAGGTATCATGTATGTCTCTTGGAGGGGTCCATGACTCAGTAGGAATACAATGGCTATACTTGAATTGTTTGATTTTCTTTCAAGTAAATTTGAATTGCTTTCAAGTAATTTGTCATTGTTTCTGCCTACTCAAACAGGCATAAAGATCACCAGCATCACTGCTTTCTGGCTTTGGATACCAGGTGATCAGTGGTCCACCATGCCTTCTCCCCACAGTAAACTGTCTTCTGAGCATGAGCCCAAACCAATCCTTCCTTCCACAGAACACAGAAGGAATCATAAAACCAGCATAGAACGAGCCTACCCAATATTCTGTATGTAAGAATGTTAGGATAGTTTGTTCTTTTACATAGATTTGGCTATAATTAAAAATGAAAATCGGGTCTGAGACATAGCTCAGTGAGTAGAGGGCTGCTTGCCTAGCATTCTCTAGGCCCTGGGTTTAATCACTAGCATGGATTAAAACCGGCAGTAGCAGTGTAAAAGCCAAGTAGTGCCAGCGTTCAGAGAGTGGATGCCGGAGGGTCAGGAGTTCAAGACAGCCTCAGCTCTAAGGTGAGTTCAAGGCCAGTCTGGAATGATGGAGACCTGTCAGAGAGAGGGTGAGGAGAAACGATATATTAAGGAACTGAGTGCCAAATCTTACGGATGCAATGCTTGCGATTTCGCAGGCTTTCTGGTCATTTGGAAGTTAGCAGGCGGGAGGGACCCATGGAATTTTGGGAAAGCGGTGAAGCAAAGTTCCGAAGTAAATACCCATGATGCCTTGCCTGCCTACAGCCTGAACAAACCTCAAGGGTAGTACTTACAGGGATCTTCATCCCCTCTTAGGCCCTGATCTGGCCACTGGGGCAGACCCAGATGTGGGAAGGTTGCATTCGTTAGTGGATGGAGACACCACCAGAGTGCGGGAGGCCTCTGGTTGTGCTCAGAGTTCTAGGTTCACTTCCAGGATCTGGGATGCTGGGAACGCTGCCACTAACAATTAGCACCTGAAATTGCCTAAGAGCCCCTTCAGGAGTGGGGGGCGGGCTTCCCCAGCTTCAGCTCACACCAGAGTTACCAGGATGGCTTGCTAAAAGCCAGACTGTGGGTCCCTGTAACCAGCGTTCCCAATGTAGTAGTGAGCTGGGATTTACATTCCTTAGTCTCCGGGCGCCAGCACTTCTCAGAGCTGGGGACCAGATTGAGAACCATTGATGTTGGTCAGAAAGAGCAGGACAGGCATTGCAAGGAGTGCGGGAGTATATACAAGGACAGAAAGGAGCAGCCTGTCAACAGGTGTTTAGAAAAAAGAGAGCAGGAGAACTCCTGGGTGGCGCTGGATAAGGAGGTGCCAAGCCAAGAAGTTTGGACTTGGTCCTGGACCAGAGGCACAGCCAAAGGAGCTTCTTGTGGAGGGAAGAAGGCCAACAGATTGGGAGTTGAGCACAGTCCTTCTGGAGGGTAGGGGGAATGGGAAAGAGAAAATGAAGCTGACTCAACTAGCCTGTCAGATCCCATGGAGTCGATCTTGTTGCTACACAGAGGCCCAGAGGTCAAAAGCAAGCAGCACCCCAGGCAATTAGCGGTTTATGCAGAAGGACTGTGGGCAGGCTCTCAGGTGGTGTTAAGGTAAGGAGTGAGCCCTGGCCGAAGCACCCTGTGTGCACACAGACGGCCTGAGATCAGGTACTGCCAATGAAACACAGAGAAGGTCAGGGACCTGGCTAAGGTTAGGCCAGAGGCTGATGAGACAGTGGGGTGGGGGTGGGGCTCTCCTTTTTATACCACTCCATATTCCACAGCCTGTATTCTGCAGGGACTTACCTCATTCCTTCAGGGTCTAGGGGATAATACGGTGTCTGTGCAGTGTGTATGTGCACGCATGTGTGTGTTTGTATCTGCCATGGGTGTGAAGTATGAATGTTTGGTGTCCTTGAAATGGGTATTGGGTGCTGTTATAGCTGTCTCCAAGCCTCTCCTGTCCCACGTGTTACTGAAGATGTAAGGATTCCCTTGGAAACATTCCTAAGGACACAGGGAGTTATGAATGAGGACCTTGCCTGGCCATTAGTTTTACATCATGGGTGACAGAAGCAGTAGAAGCAGCCAGAGGCTCTCATTCAGAAAACCTTCAGAGTAGGTCACAGAGAGGAAAGGGAAAGAGGGCATGAGAATGAGAGAGAGGAGAGAGAGAGAGGGGGGGGGAAGGAGGGAAGAAGGGAGGAAGAGAGAGCGCAAGAGCGAGGGAGAGAGAGAGAGAGACAAAGGGATCATATAGGGAAGGACCATTGACGTCGTGTCAGAAAAGCTGGGCTCAAGAGTTTCATTAGCCATATGCTGCCCTGTGACTCGAAACAAATGTCCCTTCTTTGGAAGACAGTTTTCTCAACCAGTAAGACGAGATGGCTGATCCCTAAGCTCTCTTCCAGCCCTGGCCTTCTATGCTTTCCCTTTTAGAGGTACTCAGGTGCAACCTTCTCAGGAAAACGTTCAAGCTTTCAAAGGGCACGCTTTTGTGTGCACCTGATCTCTTGTGCTCCAGCCAGCACTGTCCACGTTCATGATTTTCTATGATGTCTGCATTTTCTCATTTATCCTGATTTCCTTGTTTGTGTAGGTTGGCTCTGTTGTTTTAGGCAAATAAGGAGTCCCATGCCAACAGGAATATCCTGTTGACAGGAGGCTCTTTTCACAAGGTCCCAACTGTTTGAAAACATTTGTGTATCACCCCAGCAGACTGCGTCTTCTGATAAGCAACTGCTTTTGTTTGTTTGTTTTGTTTTAGTTTTTTTTCTCCTAGTGATATTATTATCTTGAAGGTAACCATTTCTTTGGAGAAGAACTATGGAAGGTGATTATCATGTTAACTTGGTTCTTCCTCTTCTATGTTAGTTTTCCAGGGCTGATATGACAACCCATTGACAGGGTGCCTTAAACACAAGAGATGCCTTGGTCTAGAGGTTAGAGGATTAAGGTCAAATTGCCAGCAGAGCTGGTTCCTATTAAAAGCATGTGGGAGCCTGTTGCATGCCTCTTCCTCGGCTGCGTTTTTATTGGGAAAGTTTGGTCTTCTTTGGCTGGTAGAAGACATTGGGTGTCTGCCTTCATCTTTGCATTCTTTCTCCCTTTATGCCCATTTGTACCCAAATTTCTTTATTATACAGACGCTAGTCAAGAGGCTAGGCATGAGCAATGGGCCCTTAACAGTCAAGCGCAAAAAAGGCTGAGGCCTTTCCTGGTTCCTGCAAAAGGAAGACAGCTGCTTAGCTAGAACAAGACAATCCATTGCCTTCTTGAGCAAGCCTGTGCAATACAAGCTCCCACTCCCCCACAAAGCAGATGGCAGCACATGCTAATGTGCTAAGAGGATGGGCTGGGGTGTGTGTGACATGCGTGCTTTTAGGGCCACAAAGTTTACCTTCCTTTACTTGTGTAAGGAAGAGACACTGAGAAACTGCAATTTCATTCATTTGGAATGAGCTTGTGAAAGACAGATGTGGTGTCACATACCTATAGTCCCAGTACTTGGGGAATGGGAGGAGGAACAAGGACAGCTTCAGAGACCTTGGGGAGGGAGAGAGGGAGGGAGAGAGAGAGGGAGGGAGGAAGGAAAAGAGGGAGGGAGGAAGAGAGAGAGAGAGAGAGAGAGAGAGAGGGGGGGGGGAGGAGGGGGGAGGGGGGGGGGGGGGGGGGGGGGGGGGGGGGGGGGGGGGGGGGGGGGGGGGGGGGGGGGGAGGGGGGGAGGGGGGGGGGGGGAGGGAGGGAGGAAGAGAGAGAGAGACAGAGAGAGAGAAAATCCTATCTTATGTAGTCCACGGACACTGGAGTGGCATGAAGCCAAGCCTCAGGCTTTCTTCCAACTCTGAAGAGGGTGACTGTGATGTACCAGGTGACTGATCTGGAACCTATCCCATGTTCTCACAGT